TTTAATTTTTTGGTCACATAGTCTTTGGACGAATCATGAGCAATGATGACATTTCTTGATCACCATACTGGGCCGAGTAGCATCTAATGTCATGCTGCTTAAAAATAATGTCAACGTTCATCATATGACAGTTAAATTTACATGGGAATAGTTCATGTAACAACCTTACTGTTGTCACTGTTAAATAAAGTAATAGTCTAGTACAAACTACAACCCAATGTTTAGGTCTAACTGTTGTTTGTTATTGTTTCTAGATGTGTACTTCTAAAACAAATGCAAATATTTGAATATTTAAAAGGGAGCAAAAGTATCCTGCATATATTTGCTATCCTTTTAATGGTCTGAATCCCGAAACAAATTAGCATAAGTGTTTTACAAAGGAGAAGATGTAGTAAGTGGAAGGACCTGCCGGAAGAGATTTGACAGCTGAATACACTGTCTGAATTTAAAAGAGCATTAAAGACCAGTCTCTTCCATCAGGTTTATTCAGAGTATTTTTAAATTGTGAATTTTAAATTTTAGATGTGGATTGTTTTGATATGTGGATATTTTATTTGTTCTTTTAAATTGATGTGTGTTTTAACTGATGTTGTTTGTTTGTTAATTGTTTGTTTGTCAATCCATGAGGGGAGGCAGGTAAGAAATGATGATGATGATGATGATGATGTCTGCTAGAGCAAAATAACAGATTTATTATACCACAGGTTTTCATGAATTATAATCCACTTCCTCACATTCATGCAGGATAATTTTAAAGCTTGAACCAGTGTACAAGGTCAGTGGTGGGGTCACTATATTGACATAAGGAAGTTCACAGAAGAAGAAGAAAAATTCTCCAATACATTATCAACCCAAGTTTCCTGGATAGAGTTGGAAGACCCTTCTAAACAATGTTGGATGAGGCACAAAAGGATGCTGGGAATGGCATTGCCCCCAATTGGGCTTGGGTCCTAAAATAAATTAATTTAAGGAAATTCACAGAAGGAAAATCATTTAAGGAAATTCACAAAAGGAAAAACATCTAGGGTCTCTCCATGTCACCTCCCACACTGTTCAGAAGGCCCTTTTGACCCTCCATAGAGGCACTTGTGGGGTAGGGGAATTGGGGTAGCAAATATTTTCTTTACCGAAATCAGTTTGAATTTAGTGTCACCATGGTGTAGTGGCTTGAATGGTGGATTAGGACTCCAGGATACCAGGGTTCAAATCCTCTTCCTCAGCCATGGAAACCCACTGGATGACCTTGGGCAAGTCACACTCTCTTAGCCTCAGAGGGTGGCAATGGCAAACCTCCTCTGAGCAAAAATTGCCAAGTAAACTCTAGGAGAAGATTTCCATAAGTCACAGTTGACTTGAAGGCTCATAACAAATTCTTTCTCTTGTCCTGACTGAATTTTATGAGGCTTGCTTTAACTTGAAGTATGATTTATGTCTTTATGAAAGGGGTTTACTATGGCAACATATTCATGAGGCATATCTAGGTCATTTTTAATTAAGATCCCCATATTTAATGGCTGAGATCCTACGCCACATTGGCACAGGGCAGACCTACGCTCACTGGTAGATCATCCTGTACCACCCCTCCACTGAATGCCAACATTGTGCAACTGAATGCATATCTTCCAATGTCCCATTGTGCAATGGGAAATGCACAATACCTATCTCCAATGTTGTTGAGAATCAAAGGATACACTGATGGCACTGATGAGGAGCTGTACACCATCCAAGAATGCATAATTGCATATACAATGATAATACCTGCGGACTCTGCTTACACAACTGTGAACTGAATAGGCCCATTGCACAACAGCTAAAGCAGTACAACCACATATAATAAATAATAATAATAAAATTTATTTTTACCCCGCCCAATGGAAACCCAATCCGGGCGGCTTACAGATTAAAATACAAGAAATACATCAAAATAGAAACAATAAATAAGAAAACAACCCTACCCCCTTAAAAAAGTATTAAATCAGTAATATATTAAAACAATAATTAAACAATTCAATTAAAAAACCCAGTGCAATAATTATAAAGCCTGCACACCACAATCCTCACCATCAGATTGATGGGGCCACGGGAGGATCAGCTTGGTGGGGCGCTATCCGAGGTGGGGGTCACTGATCCGGAAAGGCATGGATGTGTGTATGACACCAGCAGGATTCCAGCCAGTATCAGAAAGGTTCTCTATCCCTTAAAACCTATCTCCTCATCACTTCTTACTGCTGGCATGGCAGACAGGTCCTGTTCCTGTGAATGGGATCATCCCCCCCCCATCCAGTTCTATGATTTATATAAACTTGATTTCTAAACAATGTGAGAAGGAGGGAACAACTGGGTTGGGAAAAGCGTAATATGTAGGAGCTGGATGAGCACGTAATCATGTGAGTTTGTATCTGCAGGCCAGAATTTGAAGATTGTCTATTTTCATTGACTGGAATTATTAAATTGGCCTTCTCACCCTTTTCCTTCTTAGGCTGAAGCAGACCATTACTCCCACATTTCACAGATTAGAATTGGGACATGTGTGTTGGCCACGTTTGGTCAAGATGGCAAGAATCATTAATGAAGAACAACCTACAAGTTAGGAGAGGCTGCAGCAGATTGGTTTTGCCTAAGCCTACTGGGAAGGGCAAAATTCCATCCTTCCTCTCTCCACCTCGAGTTTATTGGGTGCAAACTACTTTTGCACTTTGAACTCAGTTTACAGCAATTGGAGTGAACTAAGAACAAAGAGGAGAAGAGGGAAGAGGTGAAAGAAACTGGGATAGTTTAAAAGCAGCTGAAAAAGTGGGATGCCAGAGGATTATGTGGGACTGTCCCTGCCAAACTGAAATAGTTGGAAGGCATGAAGCTGAAAACAGGCCCTTAACTAGACTCTCTCTTGGGTGGAGTGGAAGGCTCTGTTGTTGTTATCAGTTTTGAAATAGGATTGTATGGAAAATCCACTCCGCACATGGAACTGAAGTGAGTGCTATATTGTCCTTTGCCTCTGGCAGT